GGATACAACAACAAACTTCAACGAGCTACTAAGAATATGAAGTTTGGGGTGAACGACGTGAACTCTGACACTCTTAGGAACATTCCTCACTTCGTAGAGAAGCCAAAAAAGTCACACGAAACGAAGCTACCCGTAGTTAAGAAACCATCAAAGAAGGTTATGCCTGCGATACCTGAGGAATATGACCATGACTTATTAAAAGCCGGTATAGTAGTTGCGGGCATTGGTCTGGCCTATTATATATGGCGATGAACAACCCCTACGTAGCTGGAGTAGATTGTGTYTATACGACTTACACAGGCGAGAAAAAATACAACCAGAGCTCTTGGGTTGATGTCACGGGCATGTCCGTGAATTTGAACTACTCGGGAAAGAAGTTAATCCTTTGTAGTATTTGCATTGGTACGAGCAGCCATGCCAACGTCGGCTTCAGGTTTCTAGATGAGAATGGCGTAYTGCAGCCTATGAGAAATAAGACAAACAACAGGGAGCCCGTACATTTTTCCGTAGAGCCCAACCCCGGCAGCGCCGAAAATTTATCGGTTTGGACTTTTCACATGGTTGCTGATTGCCATGGGAAGGTAAAGCTGCAGATAAGAGTAGACGATACGGGAAAGGTTACGGTAAATAGCATAGAAAATCAGAGAGATGAAAAATATAACCACGCAACCATTAGCACTATTACGGTAATGAGTCTSTAGAAGCAAACTATGTTTGCTGAAATATATGAACCCACATGTGAGAGAAGATTGGTTTTTACATTACCTAAGGGAAGAGGGGTATGGACCCGCCGATGGTTGGCTTAACACCGGATTGTGGGTGAAGGTTGGAGGCTTAGGATTAATCATATGCACTATTAGCATTAGCTCGGCAGATGAATGCGGTATTGGGTTTAGGATCGTAGATGAGAATAACCATCCGTTGCTACCTTATAGAGCGAAAGTAAATAAAAGGACTTCAGCTCATTTTTCGAATGAGCATGTTTKKAGTRSWGAWGACTTAATACCGATAACTTTTCACATGATAGCTAATTGTCAATACGCAAAGCTTCAGATTAATACCGGTACGTCAACTAAATTTACTATTTACGCTTTGATAAATGCT